ATTTTGTGTCAGTTCATTATTTATTGCTATCGTATTAAATAAAGTATTTTCGATTTCACTGAACAACAAATTTTTGTTATTGGTTGTTTACTTGTGTATTCTTAGTAGCAAATTTGATACCTTCTTGATAATTTCTTATGCAGTTTCTTACAGCACTTTGGCTAATGTTTAAAGTTTCGGCAATCTATTTGGTGAAAATCGGCCTCAAAAATTTGAAAATAATTTTCAGTCATTTGCTAAAAATGAACTTTTAGTTTATTTCTCAACAAAGCTTTGGTTTTAATTATAGGATTTAATATGCTGAATATAAGTTTTATACTTTGCAAGGTATAAAATTTATATCAGCATATTAAATCCTATAGAAATTATGATAAAACAGCCTAACCCTACCCTAACAGCTGTTAGAAAATGCGCATTTGACTTGAACATGCATAAATAGTTTTATGCATGCTTTGTAAAAAATATTGGTTTGGATTTATAAATTAAAATTTTTTACAAAAATATTTATATTGTAACATGGCGTCAGATCGGAAATTTTCAAAAACTGACCAAGATAAATACAGTTTGGAAAAAAAAAATGCTTTAGGTAAACTTTGTAAAAGTTACAAAAAATAGTACGATTTATCGATTGCTGAAAACTTTCAAATAGTCAACTTTAGTGAAAAAAGAAAGAAACACGTTAAAAAATTGCCACGCGAAGGATACCTCGCAAGAGCTGTAAGAGAGTTTTATTCGGACCTTAAAGACAATAAGCACGATAATCCAACCTTAACTAAAGCCCTAAAACTTGGGAAAGAATACTTGAGTACCTGAAAAACATTTGGGCTGTGCGTAAATACTTTATTAAAAATTTTGGAGTTGATCCACCTGTGCTGAATGGTGACCAAATACCACTCCACCAAAATGAAAGTTCTACCCAAAGGACCTTGAACTTTAATGGTTTAGACACAAACGTCAAAGAAAATTATTCTCTTTCAAGAGTTCGAATTACTGTTTACACTCAAGTTTGCAGTGACCCTAAAGTCTCAATTAAACCAGAATTTGTGTTTAATGGCTAAGGTGTTAGGGTTAAACTTAATCTTCCTAAAGATGTGAAGTTTCAATGAGCACTTAAAGGTTCCTATCGATTGGAACATATGCTGAGTACAATAGCTAATTTACCAAACAGGCACAATATTTTTACTCATCAAAATTACGGGATTTATGTTCTAGATGATTATAGCGTTCATATAATGCCAGAAATCAAAGCTGCCTTATTAAAGAAAGGTTATATTTACGTTGGAATAGGTGGTGGTATTACAGGGGACGTTCAGATTAACGATACAGATTTCCACAGGCCTTTAAAAGCTAAGTACCGAGAGTTAAAGTAAAACCTTATGACAGAGCAATTAAGGCTTGACTTCTAAGAAATTCCACAGCCATCCAGGGATCATATAATGTATATGCTACTAAAAAGTTGGAGTTCGTTAGAGATTGATGTTACTAGTCGATTTAAGGCACTGTGGGTAACTAATGCTTTAGATGGAAGCCAGGATTATCTAGTTTCGGAAAGAATATAAGCCTTAGTGGGAGAAAAGCTTCAAGCATTTCGGAAAAAACTTATGCTTACCCCAAGCCCAAGAAACTTGAATGATCTCCAAGGGCTAATTACACCTCCAAAAGGAGTGAAACGAAAGCAAGGACAAAACACTTGTGAAACAAAGCCGTTAGATGAAGGATATGAATTATTTGATTGTGAATGTGAAATGTTATTTATAAATCAACTTGATGAAGAGCATTAGACAGACGAGGAAAACAATACAAATTTGGAAACAAATGCTTTAGAAAATCAAGATGAAAACAATCGATTTAATTAGTTCATCCAACATTTTTTTAGGTGACTTATGTCAAGGCAATCGCGATCTAAGAAAAGATGCTGTTTTCATTGATAAATTAGGAAAACTTTTATGTAATGCAGAAACATCTACCCAATTTATTCCACATCTTACAAGATTGAAACGGAGCTATATAACATCTCGCCGTGCCATAAAAAGCCGCATAGAAACAACTTTGAAGCCTTTGACAACAAATAGTTAGAAAATGAAGTGGAACACCGCGATGAAAATGATTCAATAAAAAATAGTTTTGAGGATCTATTTAAATAAAAAGATCATTTTTATTTATTTTATTTAAAGTTAATAAATATTTATAATTAAACCTTTTAAAGTCGTTCATTTTCTTTTGGTAAATTATTTTTGTACGTTACAGGGATTACATTCTCTCTCTGTTTACTAGAACTAGAAGAGGTTCCTTTTTTTTAAACAAAAAAACCCGCACATTTATTTTGTAAATAAAATCCTCCTCCTACTATAAATTCAACCCTTCTCCCCCCCCCCTGTTTATTAAATTTCAGAAAAAATCTCCCCCTTCCCCCTGTTTATTAAACCCACCCCCACCCCCCAGTTTATTAGATTTTGACTAAAATTCCCACCCACCCGTTTATTCCCACCCCCCGTTGTATTCAGCACTCGAGAATAGTTATCGTTATTCGACTTTTTCATGCCATGTAAGGTTTTAAATTTTTATTTTTTAACATTAATATAAAAAAACTAATTAGATAAAAACGTTACTGATTTGGTTTCTCTTTTTCAGCCAGTTAGTCATTTAATTTTTAATTACAATTTAATATTGTATTTTAATTCCTATACAGCTTTCTTAGATGATTCTGAAAATGACCTTTACTATTATAATGGCATTTATTTATTGTTAAATAAAGCACTTTATAATTTTGCATAACCCTGTAAAATTTAATCGTGATGAATTTGGTCAGCGTGAAAGAAAAAAGTGTTCACTGGTATCAAATGAAAAGTATAATTACAACCCATTAGTAAACTGTGACTTGAAGCATTTAAGTTTAACAGACATAGCAAAAGCAATTATAGCTGTTGCTTTTCATAGTATTATAACTTCTGTTGTAGCTAAACCTGACATTTAATATATGAATAATTTAATTGTGGCTGCAACTGTTTCCAAATCTACAATTTTGACCATGGATGATATTATTTTTATGTCAGAAAATAAATTTTCTTTTAGTGAAAATATTAAAACAAATATGACTCAAACAATAGTTACTGATATAGAGCGTATGACTATGGGTCAAATACAAATGAGCTTTGGTTTAATTTTCGAAAGCGAGTTATAACTGCTTCAAAAGCTCATGATGTTTAAAAAAAAATTAAAAAACTTAACATGGGCATTAAAGTTGACATGTGGTCATTACACCAAAGTGTTTCAGGGCACTTTTGATTTATACACTTTATACACTTTTGTGAACCTCCATTGAAGTATATAGATATACCTGCATTGAACATATACATGCATTGAAGTATGGGAGAGCAATGGAAATAGAAGCAGCAAACCAGTTTTTCGAAGTTATGAAATCTTTTCATCAAATTTTAACTTTAAATGAATGTAGATTATTTTTAGATGTCGAAATACCCTATGTAGGTGGAAGCCCCGATAGAATTTTCCGATTTCATGTTGCCCGCCAGCTTGTTTAGAAATAAAATGTCCATTTTCTATTAACCATACAACACCATCCTAATATATCTCTTCCTAAGATCCTTATATTAAAAAAAAATGAAAAAATTTGTTATTAACAAAAAGCATAGATATTATACTCAATGTCAGGTCCTCATGGGAACTGCTATGATGATCAATTGTTATTTTATGGTATGGACAGCTCATTGGTATACAATTGATAAAATTTGATGAAGCTGGTTGGTTGAGTATGAAAGTTGATTTTTTTAAGTACTACAACGGTCATTACTTAAAAACTGTCTTTGTAGATTTTTCTATTGGAATAAAATAGTAAAACAAAAATCTGAGTTTTATATATATTTATTTTATATATATTTTATATATATTTAGTTAAACTTTTGCATTTATACATTAAAAGTTCAATTAGATTCATTAACTTGTAGCTTTATGAGCAGCTTTAAAAAGAAGTTACTTTTACAACTACGTGCAAACTTTAATTTAGAAAATGTTACGCTTCTTACCTCAACATATTAAGACCCTAGATTTAAAGTTGTAATTAACACTGAAAACGAGCTTTCAATAGTGAAAAACCATCTAATTGAAATTTTCGTTGATTATAAACCATACGAAACTACTCCTTGCGTAAATTCTATCAATGAAAAAAAAAGTTGAAAACTTATCTAAAAATTTACTTGACGATGTATTTAAACAAGTAAAGCCCGTTCTCCATTCAGAACTTTTTGCGCTTTAGAGAAGCGGAAAAGTTCTTTGAGCATGCGCAAACAGTTTTTTTAAACCCGTTCTCCAATCAGAACTTTTTGCGCATGATCAAAGAACTTTTCCGCTCCTCCAAAGCGCAAAAAGTTCTGAATGGAGAACGGGCTTAAAGGACAAAAAAATTTACTAGACGATGTATTTAAACAAGAAAGGTAGTCAGGGCCGGCGCGAGTAGGTGTCACGTGGGGGGGGGGGGTGCCATTAAATTTTGCCGACTAAAAAAAAAAAAAAAAGGTCCTCGTTATCCAAAATTCGCCGACTGCCATGACGACATTTGCCGACTGTCTAGATTACCGAATAACCAATAACAAAAGGGTCGACATTTGCCGACTAACTAGTCTAAAAGGGTCCAATTTGCCGACTAAGGGTCTAATTTGCCGACTAAAAATCATTGATGGGGGGGGGTGACACCCCCACACCCCCCTATCGCGCCGGCCTTGACTGTAGTTTTATATTAAAGTTAATATAATAAATAAATAGATAGAGATAATATCCGTCTCCTATTTTGTTAACGCAATTTGTAGGACTTGCAGGTTACACAAAGTTCTAAAAAGGAACATGACTTATACAAAGATTATATGACGTCAGTTTTATTTTTATATACGTCTTTATATATTTTTATATACGTCATTTTAATTATTGACGCAAAAGCACCGTTGTTCGGAATTAGAATACTGTTTCCAATTCTTAAATGAAACTAGATAATTAATTTTTTATAAAAGGAAAACACTCGGCACTCGTTGCGAATTTAGATATAACTAACTTTTTGAAATCAAAAGTAAATGGCATATGAATCTGAAGAAGAAAAATTTAATAATAATGTGAAAGTTTTTGAAGATGACGAGAGAATTAAGTTTATGTTTTCCTCATTTCCTTCAGACAAAAGCGTAAATCCAGCACATTGGGAAAGCAAAATTCGATTTTGGACTTCAGAAATAATAAATTCTTGTCGTGTCATTGGTGATATTTGTTTTAATTATGAACAATTAAAAAGTCGATTTAAAGATTCTGATAAACGGAGTCCAGCAGGTATACTCTATGTTTTATAAACAGAACTATTTGTTATTATATGTCTGTATACAATTAAATGGGGCTACTTTGCGTTGTTAAATAAAAATAATGTAAAATGAATACCAACAAACTCTAAATAAAAATTGTGTCCAAAACAAATTTTATTCAGAATATTTGTTACAAAAATAGTTTAAAACACAGTATTCAAGTTATAATAGCTAAATGACAATCATAAGTTATGACACAAATTCACATTGTTTTCAGATATTAAAAAAAAAAACAGTCCATAAACCTAATCCAGTTCTAGTAGCAATATTAAATTCATAAATCTTGACAAATAATTTTAATGTTTTCAAACTCTTCCTTTGATATATTGTGTAATGTAAATTTTTCTACACGTTAGAAGCAGATGGCAGAACACCTTGACTACCAATTTTGTCTGGAATGGTATTAATAGACACATCCTGCATATCTTGTTCAACAGGCCAATAAAATCATTAAATGAATATTTAATGTATTTTATTAATTAAATAATTTTGGTTGATTATATTTCATAGCTTTCATGATTTTTAGATTGATTCATAAACTTAAAGCATGTCGCTTCATCATCTCTTGTCATGACTTGTCTAACATACCATTTTTGTATATAACAACCACAAAACAGCGGGTTTTAATAGAGTTCTTGAACTGTTTAACCATTCCTACTGTATTTCATAGATGATTGTCAGGAATATACAGGATAGTGTATCTTTTGACATTTTAATAAAACTGTCAAGTAGAGGTGCTATACTTTTTTTACTAGAATATATTCTTTTTCTTGCTTTGTTATGAAGAGTTAGCATTTTTTTTTCATTGTTACAATTTAAATTATGAAAAGAAACACATTTCCAAGTGGAACATAGCACTTTTTTCTTCTTTGGATATATTTTGCTTTACCTCCAGCTCTTGTAGTCTTTAAGTAGTCTAAGAATGAAGTAGATAATATTTCTTCATTATCATTGGATGTAGTTTCTTTAATACTTGAAGATTCTTGCATTTTCCTTAACACCTGCAGTTTATCACACAGAAATATTACTATTGCCTTAAATTGATTCCATCAACAGCTGTAAAATAGCAGTGCCATGTTGTACATGGATGATGTCGCTGTTCTTATTTTTGGTGTGAGTTGTCAAGGCCATATTTGGTACCCTTTGTTATAGATTAGGGTATATTAATAGTAATGAGGCAATAACTTGCACTATTAAATAGTATACTGAGTACTGTCTTTGCTTAGAGTCAAGTTCTTTGACAAATTTAAAAATGATTAAAGTTCTAAAAGCTATAAAATACAAAAAAATATTTTTTATCACTATGTTCTCTAAATCTTTCCTTAACTAATATATGCAGTCTTTGAAGTAACTTTTCATCTGTAGAGTTATATCTCTTGCAAAGTTCACCAGACCTACTTGCTCTTTGTGAGACTAATTTGAGTTTGGCTGTCTCATTTTGTGATAGTGTTGATGGTTATCTTCCATAAATTTATAAAGATTCCAATAGTCATGCTTAACCTGGGCAATTACATTCATGAGAATTTTTTTTTAAACATCTTTGCTTCCAACAAGGCTGCAAGCAACCACTAATTAGTGTTGGAAGTTACTGGAAGAGAAAAAATGAGTGTAGAGCAAGATAACGATTGACAGACGATTTAAAAGATTGCAAATTATATGAATCAGGAAAGCAAGATGAAGTAAGCGAAAAAGGATAAGACTTCATTGAATGACGAGTAACACAAGAATGAATTTTAGTAGATGGCACAAGAAGCGCTAGCTCTTAAGAGCAGTGCCCATTATAGTATTTGTAGAAAAGAGAAAGAGAAGCAACATTACAACAATGTGATAATCGTTGGAGGTTGGCTGCAAGAGCAGGTCCAACTATGTTTACAATGCATTTTTGCACCTTGTCTAAAAGAGAATGGCATCATTCACCCATATATTAGGAAAATAGATTTAAATCTACAGACTATACATTTATGTGCTTTTGTTTAGCACCACTTAACTCTATTGCCTTTTTCTTTGTTCTATATTGTTCTCCTTAATCTCAAGACTGTACTTTTTTCAATGTTACTTCTGATCAAATTGACTAACCTCTCTCTTTTGATACTTTAGTCGATATTGATATTTTTGGTAACTTTAATGCTCTTCACACTGAATGGCTTGGCTCTAGTATCAGTGACTCTGCAGGCGTTAAAGCCCACAACTTTTACCTTTCTCAATCACTAACTCAAATAATCAACTTTCCAACTTGATTTCCTCTTCTTGACTTATGCCTTGTTTCTGATCCTAGTCAGTGCTCTGTTTCTCCACATTCATCCTTAGGTGCTTGTGACCACAGTTTAATCTCTTCAAAACTATTATCTCATTCTTCTTCATCATTTGAATCCCCCTATCATTGTACCTCTTACAACTATCTTAAAGCTAACTGAGACTCTTTTTGTGATTTTCTTTGTCATGGCTCTTGGGTAGAAATCTTTTGTCTTTCTGCTGACAAATGTGCTTCTTATATAACTTCTTGAATTCAGGGTGGCATGGAATCTTTTATTCCCTCTCGACAATTCCAGTTGAAGCCTCACTCTTCTCCATGGTTTTCCTCATTGCGCTGCTGCAATTTCCCAATTAAATCCATTACTTCCATATCTTCCATTACTTCCATTACTTCCATATCTATCAGCAAAACAATTCTCTAAAACAGTTGTTTGTTTATTGTTGCTAAAAACAATTGTTAAAAGGTTTTGTATAACGCCATAACCAGCTATTCTCTGGTAATGAAATCTCATATCTCATCTCAAAAATTAGGCTCTTGTGTCTTCTGGAGAATCTTTCATAGTATAAATAATAAGGGCAAATCTGTTTTTCCACCTCACTTGTGTAGTTCAGACTTTTTCAACTTACCTAAAGACAAAGTTGAATTGTTTGCTAAGAACTTTTCATCAATATCATCTCTTGATTCCACTAGTTGCGTTCTACCTGATTTAGCCGTCAAACAGGTTGATCCATTGCTTGACATTTATATTACTCCAGTTTCTGTATCTAAAGTGATTTCCTGCTTAGACTCTTTTACAGCTTGTAGTCCGGACAATATGCCTGTTATAGTCTTGCAGAAGTGTTCTCCTGAGCTGTTGTCTATCCTTTCAAAACTATTCAACAAGTGCTTATCAGAGTCTTGTTTTCCAGCAAACACTGAATGTCTCATCGTGAATCTAATAACTTAATTTCTGATCATCAATATGGATTTCGATTTTCTTGTTCTATGGCTGATTTGCTAACAGTAATAACTGATAGGTTTTACCGTGCATTAGATAAAGGTGGAGAGGTTAAGGCCATTGCTTTTGACATTTCTAAAGCGCTTGATAAAGTTTGGCATGCTGGTCTTCTCCATAAGCTTTCTTCTTACGGTGTATCTGGAAACATCTTTAAGATTATTGAATCCTTCCTTTCCAATCGTAGTATAAATGTTGTATTTGATGGCAGCACACTTTTTTTTATTCAGTAACCTCAGGGGTTCCTCAAGGTTCAATCCTTGTCCCTATACTCTTTATAATTCACATTAATGATCTTCCATATATTTTTACATCTTCGGTGGCATTGTTCGCTGATGAAACTACCATTTATTCTTGTCATGATAAAAAGCAAACACTCTCTGAAAGCTTAGAGAAGGCATTTGAGCTTAAAATGGATCTCACTTCTGCTACATCATGGGGCTCACAGTGGCTGGTGAACTTTAATTCGGATTAAACTCAATTTATTTAGATCTTCCTATACTTATATATATATAATATATATTTTTTTCTTTTTCATTTAAAAATATAATAAAATAATTTTTATTCCAAAAAACCTTTATAAGATAAAAACTTAAGGTCCATGCTGGATTCTCGCATAGCTTCTAGGGCCAGCATGCCACTGTTGGTGAGAATTTTTTTCGTGTGTTTTTAAAACTTAGCTGTTTTTCACAAATGGAAGCACAAACTTAAAAGTTAATATGAAAAAAATGTTTAAACAAGGAACTTAAGCCAAAGATCCAAAATGATCAGAAAGTATTTTTACATGATCATACATCTTACCATTTGCCAAAGTTTATTTTTATACATTTTAATTGTTCTTATGTAATTATTAGTCATTTAAATTAAAAAGTCTATTAACAAGGGTTGAATTAAGCGATCGCAAAATGAAAAATCTGGAAAATTATCTGGTCTTCAAAATTTTAGTTTGTGCAAAACCGTGTTCTTTGTTTTCATGGGGCGAATCAATTTAAATTAATTAACAAAAAAGTTGTAAAAAATAAAATTATCAACTTACGACTACAAAAATAATAACACTCTAGTATCTAACTGCATTATAAAAGTAATACTATAATAGTGATAAGTGATACTATAAATAACACTATAATAGTGATAAGTAATACTATAAATAACACTATAATAGTGTTATTACTTTTATAATGCACTTATAACTTTTATAATTCACTCTTAGTTCAAACAACATAAGTAATCCCAAATTTTAATTGAAGTAGAAAATAATCTAGAAAAATAGAGTGGATATTCAAATGATATTTAAAACTTATTAAGGAACTTAAACAACCTTATAAAAACATACTTTATAAAAAGTTAAGCAATATGAAAAACAAAAGGTCTGTAAAAATGCGCATTAATTTTAGAATCAACCAATAAAAACTTTTAACGTTTTTCATAATGATAAACTTTTTATTAAGTACATTTTTATTAAGTTGTTTAAGTGTATTTGTTAAAGTTACTGAAGTTTTTAATAGTAATTTATTATCCACTTAATTTTTTTAGATGATTTTTACTTTGATTAAAGTTACTAATATTGTTTGAACAAAGAATAAACTTTAAAAGTTTAAAAGTGCTTTATAAAACTAATAACACTATTATAGTTTTATTACTTTTATAATGCAGTTAGTGACTAAAGTGTTATTACTTTTGTAGTTGTAAGTTTATTGTTTTGTTTTGTTTTTTATAACTTTTT